CATGCACCAATGTGATAATTATAGTTGATGCCCAACATGGCAGTTAAACACAGCGTCTAGTGTTTCTGCAGAGAAAATTCTGCAGCCTTTTGTTTTTCCTCCCTCGTCTGAGGGTGAGGAGGACGAGAGAAAAATCAATGCCGTCAAATGTGGAGACAAGAAAACGTCCATTTGACAAATGCGGAGCTTTGAGCTGCTACAGATTGAATTCTGATGGATTTCTCTGCAGGTTCGTTATTTTTAGAACCTTCATCTGAACATGTTCCCAACAATGATGTCACAGAAGGAAAGGTGCTGCTGTCAACCACAGGGTCCCCATCTGGCTCAGGGTCACACACACAGGGTCACACACACACACACACACACACAGGAGGGTGACTTCTTCTCACAGTAGATGTGTTGCTCATAAAAAAGTGTTTTCCTGTTGGTCTCCCTGGTTCTCCCTGGTTCTCCCTGGTTCTCCCTGGTTCTCCCTGGTTCTCCCTGGTTCTCCCTGGTTCTCCATGGTTCTCCATGGTTCTCCATATCAGCCACTGATTCTGCTCCTTGTCTTCTGTCTTCACAGTCAACCTGTGGACCATGTTCCAGGCAGCTCAGAAACTGGGAGGATATGAATTGGTTCCCACCCCTCCCCTTCTCTGCTCCTCTCCCCCTTTTCTCTGCCCTCCTTTTTGTCTTTCAGGTCACTCACTAGTTTTTCCCAGAGTCAAAGTCACTTCACACACACTCACACACACACACACACACAGGTGTTTGTGAAATGACCGCATCCAACCACGGAGGCAGCGCCCTCTACTGGAGCAGTAGTCTGTTCTGGTGCTGATTTTTTTTTTTTTCTTTCTGTCCTGTCGTCCTCAGATCACAGTTCGCAGACAGTGGAAACACGTTTATGACGAGTTGGGGGGGAATCCCAGCAGCACCAGCGCTGCCACCTGCACACGCAGACACTACGAGAGGTGAGACAGTCCATCGATCATGTGACTCCTCAAAGTCTGACTGACAGCTCAGGGATCATGTGACTCAGGTCAAACAACCATGTCACGCAAATGTTGTAAAAGAACCCCCCCCTCACCCCCCCCCCAAACTGAAACAGAGAGATACTAAGACATAAACTGCTGTTGCTGCTGCTGCTGCTGTTCCTGTGAATCCTCAGCCTCCCTCCTCAGATCCACTGTGTGAATTATTAAAAATGAGGTCATTAAAAATGACATCAGTAACCTTGGAACAAACTGCTGCCTTTTTCTTCTGCTCTCAGCCATTTCACTCTCCTCACCCATCCTCGCCCCTTCTCTCTGTCTCCCCGTGTCTCTCACCCACTCCCTGCTGTTTCCTTCATTATCCAGGTCACTGCTTCTAAATAGATTTGTTAAAATCCCATTTTTCTTCCTTTGACTCAAACATCACATTTCACCATCTCCCATTTTCTGCCTTCTACACATTTTTAATCCGTCGCTGCGCTGTGGAAGCCGCCGGTAATTACACAACAGAACTGATTTCCTGTTGAGAGGGATGTGGGGGGGGAGATGGGGGGTCAGTATCCATGGAAACAGAGAAGCAATTTAGAATAATGTGCTATTTAAAAACTAGAACGTTCTTTGGCAACAGCGGAGAAAAATGATAGAGGACAAGCCTGTTGGCCAGAGTATTAGTAGTCCTAGATTAGTCCAGATTATTAGATTATTAGTAGTCCTAGATTAGTCCAGATTATTGGATTATTAGTAGTCCTAGATTAGTCCATTTTATTAAATTATTATTAGTCCTAGATTAGTCCAGATTATTGGATTATTAGTAGTCCTAGATTAGTCCAGATTATTAGATTATTAGTAGTCCTAGATTAGTCTAGATTATTACATTATTATTAGTTTTAGATTAGTCCAGATGATTAGAATATTAATATCCCTAGATTAGATGAAATTATTAGATTATTATTAGTCCTAAATTAGTCCAGATTATTGGATTGTTATCAATCCTAGATTTAAACTCATCTAATCCAACAGTGTATCATATAATAAAAAATAAAAAAAAGCCCGAGAGGGAGTGACATTTTTCTTTGTTAAACATAATGAGACCAGGGTCAGGACTGGAGAACCTTCTAGAATCCTGACAACAATGTCTAGATTGTTTTTTCTTCTCAAAAAAATCATGTAAAAAATGTCATAAAAATGTCAAATCACATAAATCACATCTCAAATATACTTTGTCTTTCCTAAACACAATCAATTTCCTGGAAACTCTGAGTACCCCCTGGTGGCTGCTATTACAATCTACACCTGAGTCGCAGCCAAGAGAAAGATTTTCTCCAGGAGGAAATGAGAGTTTATATAAGAGCATTGTGTCATGAGCTCCGTGTCACATGACCTCGGCTGCCTTGTCTACCACAGCAGGATAAAAATAGACGTTGTACATAAAGCGGCTGTAGAGGTGATGGATGAGCAGCCAACAGTCAGCCAACAGTCAGTCACGGTGTTCCTACTACGTCCTCATCCTTCTACAAGGTGGACAAAATTCCCCAATTCTCCCCTTTTTTCTCCCTGGTTTCCTGCCGACGCAGCAGCTAAGCTTTTCCATTTGGAACTATTTAAGGCTCCAATAATTTCCTGGGCTCAGCTTTTACATTATTCCAGCCGGAGACCCCCCCCTCCACCCCCCCTCCCCCCCT